TTTACATTAAGGTGTGCACCCACAGTTACATTAAGGTGTGCACCCACAGTTACATTAAGGTGTGCACCCACAGTTTACATCAAGGTGTGCACCCACAGAGCACCTGGGCTGAGGGATGAATTAATACATTTTCTGATTTAGGATTCACTCCGTCATCTTTCAATATTTACTAACTGGAATATTAGATCAGAACTCTAAGATGTACTTTTTTGATATTTCAAGTCAGTTTATTTATATAGCTCCAAGTCCCAACAGAAGTTGTTTCAGAGCAGTGTACAAAAAAAAAAGTCATACTTGAAGAGACAATAAAAGTTATATAAGGAAGCAGCAGATTGTGTTGAATCTTCACTTATTCACAGTCTCTCATCATGAACAAGCACAAAGGAGACAGTGGAAAGGAAAAACTCCCTTTTAACAAGAAGAAACCTCCAGCAGAACCATGCTCAGGACGAGCAGTCATCTGCTTCGACCAGCTGGGTTTTGAGAGGAACAGGAAGGAGAAACAGTTGAACACAGAATGACAGGTCCAGGTGAACTTTCTATAGGAGGAAAAAAACATTTTAAGACAGAAATAATTACAAATACAAACAGGTAGAGTAAGTAAAGACAGCAGCAGAGTGAGGAAATGTGGTCATTTTGTCCTCCAGCAGGCTAAGCCTTTAGCAGCATAACTAAAAGATAGCTCAGGAAACTCAAGCCAAGTAGCCAACCCTAACTATAGGATTTATGTAAAAGTAAAGCCTTAATCTTAAAACTGGACAATGTGTCAGCCTCATGGACAGAAACTGGAAGTTGGTTCCACAAGAGAGGAGCCTGATAACTGAAAGATCTTCCTCCCATTCTACATTTGGAAACTCTAGGAACCACAAGTAAACCTGCAGTCTGAGAGCAAAGTGCTCTGTTAGGAAAATATGGAACAATAAGATCTGTATCCTGATGCATGCTCAATAATCCAGGTAGAAAAATCCAAAAAAGTTAAATCTGGTCCCAAACAGGACTCCAGTCAACCATCAGGTGAAAAGGAGGAACCCAGATCCAGACCAGTGGTCATTCCGTATGTTGAGGGGGTATCAGAGAAACTGAGATGTTTATTTTCTAAACACAACGTCCCAGTGGCTTTTAAACCCCAAAATACATTACGGCAAAGACTGGTTCATCCCAAAGATCCAGTCCCCCGGCACAAACAGAGCAATGTTGTGTATGCTGTTCAGTGTCAGGAGGGCTGTGATCAGTCTTACATCGGGGAAACTAAACAGCCACTGGCCAAAAGGATGGCCCAGCACAGAAGATCAACATCATCAGGCCAGGACTCTGCGGTCTACACTCATCTCCAGGCCAGCGGTCACTCTTTCAAGGATGAAGATGTCCACATCCTGGACAGAGAGGAACGATGGTTTGAGAGAGGAGTAAAGGAGGCCATCTTTGTGAAAAGAAATCATCCATCATTAAACAGGGGTGGAGGCCTCCGGGTTCAACTGTCCCCCTCTTACAATGCTGTGATTGCTAGTATCACTCAGCCCTCTGTGAGTAGTAAACAGCCATCAGTGTGCTAATGATCCATTGTTAGGCTGATGGTCCTTCTTGAGCATGTGATCAGCTGGTTTTGGTTGTCAGCAGCAAACTGGTTGATCCACTCTAAGAAGGTGCTATTTAAGAGACTGAGCTGAAAACAGCACCTCAGACTGAGGAAGTCTCTTGGATGAGAGACGAAACGTTTCTAGATTTTTTTTTTGCTTTGTTTTGCTTTTGTTTTTTTGAATGTCCAGAGGACCAGATTGAACTTTTTTGAATAAGATCTGTAATATAAGATGGAGCTAGGTTGTTGAGAGCTTTGTAGAAGTAAGATTTTGAATTCTATTCAGGATTTGACAGGGAGCCAATAGAGAGAAGCTAAAACTGGAGAGAGATGATCTCTCCCACTAACTCCAGTTAAGACTCTGGCAGCAGCATTTTGGATCAACTGAAGACTTTTTAAAGAAGTATTTGGACACCCAGATAATAAACCATTGCAATAGTTTAGTCTAGACGTGACAAATACATGAACCAGTTTTTCTGCATCATTTCAGATGTTTCTAATTTTAGTGATATTATGCTAAACATGAGAGTTCTCCATATGGTCACTCACTCAGGGTTCTGTAAACATATTTTCTTAGCAAAGGTAATGACTGATTTTGTGTAAAAGACCAAAAGCCAAATAGGATTCATCCTGAAATGAGGATCTTACAACTTTTCTTTTAATGCTTATTAAATATTGTAACACACAGATGATTTAAAAATAATAGTTTAGGATCTTACTTTGCTATTAATGACAAACTAAACAAAAATAAGGATTAAAAAGGATCAAATAAACAAGTTGAAAATGTGGATTTTTATTTTTACAAATGTAGAAGCAGCAAATATAGCAGCTGTTCTTCAAAAATTTGATGTATTCTAGTTTACATAATATAATTTTCAAGTAAATGTCTTTATTAAACAAGTATCTGTGTATGTGTCTATGCAGAAATAGGTTTTACTTATAAATGGGGCGGCTGTGGCTGAGTGGTTAGAGCAGTCGCCCTCCAGTGCAAGAGTTGGGGGTTCGATTCCACCAGCAGTCACAAGTCGAAGTGTCCCTGAACCCCTCATTGCCTCCAGTGTGTGTCCCATCAGTGTATGAATGTGATAAAGAACTGATTAGTCTTTGTGCATAAATAGTAAAGTGCAGTATGAATGGGTAAATGAGGACACAGATTGTGTTGTAAAGAGCTTTGATAAGATAGAAAAGCACTATATAAGTACCGTTGATTTAAAAACAAAATGGAATAATCAACAAATGATTTAAATCCCTATTATTAAAGGTACTTACTGCAATGTCATGAAGACTGTTAAAAAAAAAAAACAATTATAAAATTATCAGTTAATCTGCATGTTTTTCTCATATTTTTAGTGAATGTGTCCTTAAGTAAAGAGTGTCTAAGCTGAATTTGTGAACATTTATCAGTTACCACGTGCGTCTGTCCCCTCATCCTGACAGCTGGAGTTCTGTTCGCTCGATCCACAGTGAAATATTTTGGATTCTTCAAACTGAAAGACCCCTGCTGCATGCAGAGTGATGATTTTTATGTATTATTATCAGTATTTCAGGTGACCCTGCTGTAAAAAGTACACTTTTTCTGCTGGTTTTGTAGAAAATTAGCCCTTTTTGAATTGTCTAGGGTCCAAATGTTTCGCTGGTGTTGTATGAAAAGTGAAAGCTCTGTTTTAATTTTAACATTTGACATATGTTTCTTATAACATCAAATGTAGGATTTGAATGTTTGCAAATAATAAAGTTCATCATTTAAGAAAGAAAAATGGGTTCAAACCAACTGATGACAGTACTTTCAAAGTATTTTATTATAGTCTGTGTTAATGAATGGTTAGACAAAATCTGGTTTCATGGGGGTGTTTTGAGGCAAATGGAGACTGGAGGTCACCATGGTAACAGAGCAGGTGTGATGTCAGTATACGTGGAAGACATAAGCCTAAACCTGTTGCACCTGCGTCGTTCTCCTCTTCACAGGTGTCCGTGTGGAGAGCGTTGTTTGGAAAGGAGGCAGATAAACTGGAGCAGGCCAACGACGACGACAGGACGTACTACATCATCGAGAAGGAGTCCCTGGTCAACACATTCATCTCCGTTCCCAAGGAAACCAGCAGCTTGAACTGTGCGGCCTTCACCGGAGGCATCGTGGAGGCCATCCTCACTCACAGCGGCTTCCCCGCCAAAGTCACGGTGCACTGGCACAAAGGCACCACGCTCATGATCAAGTTCGACGACGCCGTGATCGCCAGAGACAAAACGCTGGAAGGCAGATAGATAAGAGGGGAGCTGACGGGGATGTGGTGTTTTTTTTACAGAAAAAACTTGTCAAACCGACACTGAGTTGTAAACTCCTTGTTTCTAGAGAGAAAAAAAGATGTAATGATAATAATAATAATAATAATAAGCAGCACCTGTTAAAACTCTTTATAGACAGTTTTAAAAAGAATACTTTGGTATACATGTTGGATTGAAACCGTCCTTAATAACAAATATCATTGATTCCACCTGCTGAGGTAAATTTAGAAAATAATGTGCACGTAAGGTTGCACAGTGTGACATGTGAACAGATTTATTGTTGTATTTGTACCAAAGTATTTCTAAATATGTTTTCTTTAGTGCAGATTTACAAAGTAACAGGAATATTTTCAGTACTATAGGACGAGCAGTTTGTGTACAGGAACATCACAGGTCATGTTTCGCTCTTCTTCTGTTTGAACAATCAACATATACTACTAGACCAAATGTCTCGTCTCGTCTCGTTGGGAATCGGAACCAGCAGGACCCAGTTTACAGAAGCTGCCTTGTTTGGAACCACACTGGAAATGTGGGGCTTTAGGTTCTGCCAGCTACTCGCACACAATCCGTGTTAAAGTATGAAATAACTACTTACAGCTAAATGCATTAGAAACATTCATATCTGAAAAGACAACAGCAAGGTAAGAACCACGTGAACCAACAAAGTCAAGACAAAATGATCCGAGGTGTATTTTTATCTTTACAAAGTTCAAATTACCATTTGTTTACACGAAGGTGATGGGACTTTAAACTGGTTCTAGTTTTATCCAGTACAGTTGGTTCCATCATGTTACTACAGAAGCCTCAAAGGGACAAAAGAGAGTCTCACATTTTCAAGGCCTCAGTAGTTTGGGGGGGGGGGGGGGGTGATGATGAAGAACTGTATTTTTTTGGACTATAAGTCACATTAAGCAAAACAAAACAGATAAGTCAAACTTTATTCAACTCGTTCACAATAACCACAGAAAATCGGTTTGCGGTCAGTAAACAACCAGAGTTAGTCTTTAAAATACAGTAGTTGCAATTTGAGCACTCATGTGGTTCCTATTCCCTTTAAATCATTGACTTTTACTTTGGTAAAGTGTAAATGAATCCATGGCAGAATGATTTTTCTGTAACTTTAAATCAGGAAGAAAAGAGAGGGAGACATTTTACAAAAGAACAAACTTGCCATTAGAGGTCGACCAGCATGCTGCTGATGGCCCATGTTCAAAGCCACTTTCTTCTGTGTTCTTGTATATTTTGCAAATATATAGACTATTTACTGAACTTTGAATAACCCGTTATTTTGCAACTCTTCAAACAACCTGAGCACTCCATTCATCCATCTTTTGCCACTTATTCAACACAGACCCCGGGACTTCCTCCTCAGCTTATCCAGAGGGACGCCAAGCTGCTCCTAGGCAGCTGTGAGAGACGGTAGACGGTGTTTTCTGACCAAACACTTTGTAGCACTTTCTGACCTGAAGAATGAAACCATGGGTTTGGGTGATTCTGTGGGATCTACACTGATTTTGTGTTTCTTGTAAATCAGTCGCAGAATGGCTGGACTCATAGGTTTGAGGAGTTGAGCTATTCAGGAGGAGGAAGTTCAAGTCACTGCTCCTCCACGTTAAAACCAGCAGCTGAAGTGGCTTCTGCAGCAGGTAATGATGCCTTCTGGGGGAAGTGAATTGGACACATCTCACTGGGTGGAGGCCTTACAAAGAACTGGGACTCACTGATGAGACAGTGGTGTGGCTGCACTGCCCATCAGGAGACCTTTATGTGATCACAGCATGTAGGTCCACAACACGTTGGTCCTTAAACCCCCTCCAGAGTGGGACTAACGATGCTCATAATCACCATAGGTAAGGTTTGGAATGTACAGGTCCTTCTCAAAAAATTTGCATATTGTGATAAAGGTCATTATTTTCCATAATGTAAAGATAAAAATGAAACTTTCATATATTTCAGATTCATTGCACACCAACTGAAATATTTCAGGTCTTTAATTGTTTTAATACTGATGATTATGGCATACAGCTCATGAAAACCCAAAATGCCTGTCCCAAAAAATTAGCATATTTCATCCCACCAATGAAAGACAAGTGTTTTTAATACAAAAAACACCAACCTTCAAATAATCATGTTCAGTTATGCACTCAATACTTGGTCGGGAATCCTTTTGCATGAATGACTGCTTCAATGCGACGTGGCATGGAGGCAATCAGCCTGTGGCACTGCTGAGGTGTTATGGAGGCCCAGGATGCTTCGATAGCGGCCTTAAGCTCATCCAGAGTGTTGGGTCTTGCGTCTCTCAACTTTCTCTTCACAATATCCCACAGGTTCTCTATGGGGTTCAGGTCAGGAGAGTTGGCAGGCCAATTGAGCACAGTAATACCATGGTCAGTAAACCATTTACCAGTGGTTTTGGCACTGTGAGCAGGTGCTAGGTCGTGCTGAAAAATGAAATCTTCATCTCCATAAAGCTTTTCAGCAGATGGAAGCATGAAGTGCTCCAAAATCTCCTGATAGCTAGCTGCATTGACCCTTCCCTTGATAAAACACAGTGGACCAACACCAGCAGCTGACATGGCACCCCAGACTGACTGTGGGTGCTTCACTCTGGACTTCTGGCATTTTGGCATTTCCTTCTCCCCAGTCTTCCTCCAGACTCTGGCACCTTGATTTCCGAATGACATGCAAAATTTTCTTTCATCCGAAAAAAGTACTTTGGACCACTGAGCAACAGTCCAGTGCTGCTTCTCTGTAGCCCAGGTCAGGCGCTTCTGCCGCTGTTTCTGGTTCAAAAGTGGCTTGACCTGGGGAATGCGGCACCTGTAGTCCATTTCCTGCACACGCCTGTGCACGGTGGCTCTGGATGTTTCTACTCCAGACTCAGTCCACTGCTTCCGCAGGTCCCCCAAGGTCTGGAATCGGCCCTTCTCCACAATCCTCCTCAGGGTCCGGTCACCTCTTCTCGTTGTGCAGCGTTTTCTGCCACACTTTTCCCTTCCCACAGACTTCCCACTGAGGTGCCTTGATACAGCACTCTGGGAACAGCCTATTCGTTCAGCAATTTCTGTCTGTGTCTTACCCTCTTGCTTGAGGGTGTCAATGATGGCCTTCTGGACAGCAGTCAGGTCGGCAGTCTTACCCATGATTGCGGTTTTGAGTAATGAACAAGGCTGGGAGTTTTTAAAAGCCTCAGGAATCTTTTGCAGGTGTTTAGAGCTACGTAGTTGATTCAGATGGTTAGGTTAATAGCTTGTTTAGAGAACCTTTTCATGATATGCTAATTTTTTGGGACAGGCATTTGGGGTTTTCATGAGCTGTATGCCGTAATCATCAGTATTAAAACAATTAAAGACCTGGAATATTTCAGTTGGTGTGCAATGAATCTGAAATATATGAAAGTTTCATTTTTATCATTACATTATGGAAAATAATGACCTTTATCACAATATGCTAATTTTTTTAGAAGGACCTGTAGATTGATTGACAGCTTTGTATTTTGGCTCAGCCCTGTTCATCACCACAAACTGGAACAGCCTCCACATCTGACTATCAGTCTCTTGCTTCTTTCTCCCCTCACTAATAAATCCTGAAATGCTCAAAATCCTGGGTCGGTGACCAATTCCCAGCCTTGAGTTGATGAGCTACACTTTCCCAGATGAGGATACTGTACCATATTATGCCATACCACTTTATTTATAAAGCACAAAACAACCAAAGTGCTGTACAGCAAAAACAAACTAGCAACGGACACGGGATAAAATACATAGATCCAGTAGTAAAGATAAAAACTAACATTATAGAATACAGACTAGTTAATATCAACTTGGTGTCAAAAGCCAGGAAATAAAAGTGAGTTTTTAAGCGAGACTTAAAACCAGTAATAGAGGGAGCCGGGCTGACATGCAGTGGTAACTCATTCCACAGTTTTGGACCTACAGAGAAGGTCCTGTCACCTCTGATCTTAAAACGAGTAACTGGAACCAATAACAGCATCTGCTGACCTCAGAGATCGCTGTGGGACATATGGCTGCAGCAGATCAGCGAGATATGAGGAGGCAGAACTGTTCAGAGATTAAAAAACATACAGAAGGATTTTAAAATGAATTCAAAAGTGAACTGGAGCCAGTGAAGGGAGGCCAGAACTGGAGAAATATGCTCTCAACTAAGATAAAAACGCAAACTTGAAAGTGCTGTATTTCAATAATTACACAAATATTTTTTGTACATATATAAATTTATAAATGAGCATTCTTAACAGACAGTGGGCTGATATTGGGTGTCTGTACGATGGCAGCATATTTTTCCTTCTGCGTCTCCGTATAGATCAGTTCAGGGCGACATTTCAGTGACTGTTGTGCCGTTTGTCGTCTGTTTCAGTCTCATTGTTGCCAGTTGGTTCCAGAACCACACATGGCCTTCCCCCTGAGATGGATCAGTAAAATACTTTCAGGAGGGATTAAACATTTGTTGAGGCATAAATAAAGTAGTTCTTGTGTATGAGGGCTGCTCAGCCAGTCTTTGTAAACATACACAAACCCAGCCGACCCGCCTCACGCACATCCTTCAAAGATGAACTTCCACCTTGTTTCTTAAAGCTGGCTGTTCATATCATCACAGTCCCTGTGACCCACATCTTCAATCTCTCCATAAGCCAAAACTCCATTCCAGATGCTTGGAAAAGAGCCTTTGTTCTTCCTTTACTGAAGGGAGGAGACCCCACCTCACTGAACAACTATCGGCCAATCTCTAAACTCTGCATTTTAGCCAAGGTTCTATAAAAACTGATAAACTCTCAAATTAAAAATTACCTGGACTCATTTAACATCTTACCTCGCCTTCAATCTGGTTTCAGGAAACAACACAGCACAACAACTGCTTCACTGAAGGTTCTTAATGATGTTGTTGAAGCTCTGGATGCTAAGGATTATTGTGCTGCACTTTTCTTAGACCTGTCTAAAGTTTTTGACACTGTGGATCATGACATCTTGTGTCATAAACTCTCAGAAATCGGTTTCTCAGCTCACACCATTGGTTGGTTCTCTAACTATCTCTCAGACATCTCTCTCATAATGGTACTTTCTCCAGTTATTTAACAGTCAAAAATGGTGTACCACAAGGTTCAGTCTTAGGGCCCACCCTCTTTACAAACTGCATAGGTAATGTAGGTAACATTCCTGATGCATCCATACATTTCTATGCTGATGACACAGTTGTTTAATGTCTAGCTCAAACAGTTGATAAGGCTTTCCAGCTTTTGCAATCTGCATTTGACATCATCCAGTCTGATTTGTTCCACCTCAAACTTGTCCTAAATGCCAACAAAACCAAAGGGATGCTTTTTTCACTTAGGAAGTCGGTCCCAGCAGTTCTTCCTCTGATTTCATCCTCAAATGGTGTCCCGAATGAGTTTGTTGATTCCTATAAATATTTGGGTATCTTGGTCGACTCACATCTCTCTTTTAAGTTTCATGTGGAAAACCTAGTAAAGAAACTGAAAGTTAAACTGGGTTTCTTTTTCAGAAACAGATCCTGTCTAACCCTGAATGCTAGAAAACGCCTTGTATCTGTGACTTTTCTTCCCTCCATTGATTACGGTGACATTATTTACATGAACGCTCCTAAAAGAACCCTGCAGATGTTGGATGCTGTCTATCATGGTGCACTAAGATTCATAACTGGCTGTGACTATCGTACCCACCACTGCACCCTGTATTCACTGGTTAACTGGTCACCATTAACTTCATGCAGACTCTCCCAATGGTACATTTTCATCTTTAAATCACTTCTCGGTCTGCTGCCTTTATACATCTCCTCCTACATGTCTCTGCATGAATGCAGTTACAGCGTGCGCTCTCAGGACATTATTACCTGCAGTGTTCCCTCAGTGAGGACTGAACTAGCAAGAGGGCCTTCTCCTACTCCGCTCCTGTTTCCTGGAATATCTTACAAAAAGATTTGAAGCTCTCGACCATGTCCTTTCTAAGTGGCTTTAAGAATCTGTTGGGACTCCTGGCAGGGACCAATGCAGACATGTTCCTGTTTTTAGTTTTCTACAATCGCCTTAGAATCTAGCTGTTTTTGTTACTTTTTTTAGCCATCTTATTTGTAAAAAGAAAAAAAAAATCTGTATGACTTTTTATAACAGTCTATTGTTGTCGCTGTTGTCCATTGTTGTCATCATTCTTTGTTGAAATCAGGTCTCTCTTGTAAATGAGTCCTTGAGGCTCAATGGGATTTACCTGTCTAAATAAAGGTTGAATGAATGAAAAAAGAAAGGAAATTTCTACTTATTAAAAACAGAATTCATTATTTTGGAGCTTATAGGTAATAAAGTTTTTAATAAATTGACTTGATGCTGGTCAGAGCCTGCTCATCACTAAACTGCAGCTGGTTGAAGTCCCGCCATGAATTAATTTCCACAGTAACTGCCTTTATTAACTAAAATGAACATTTATCTAACAAATACAAGATAAATTGCAGAGTTGGTTCTTTTAATGCTGGTTATAGTAACAATTAAACAAAAGTAATCACTATTTTTTATGCATTATTAATTACACTAACCATGCTCATTTCTAACAAGTAACATTGTTGTTAGCACTCATAAGGAAATCATTTCAGCAGCCCTATCTCAGGACCCACAGGGGTCCTGACCACCTTTGGGAACCTCTGCTGTTTGATTGACAGGAGAGTTGTTGTTCTCAATCTTACTTTGTCTACAGAAACAGTAACATGATGCTGATAGATGGTTCATTATTGATGACTCATTATTTAAAAGTTGGCTGTCTTTAAAAAAAGGCAATTCTCAGCTGATTAATTATCCTTTACCTCGTTATATCTCTTACTCTACTCTTACTCTAAATGCTAACTTAGAGATAATTCACTCACACCAGATGTTCTCCTTATTCATAAATGTTTTCAGCAACAAGCTTTCCTTGATTAAGGTTTAAGGACCATCTTGCAATATGATGATCAGCACTAGCTTTAAAAAGGCTAATTATTAGCCTTGTTTTGGTTTAAAAACAACAACAACATGTTAGGGAACATGTAGGAAAACAAACAAGGCAGAAAGCCCCAGCTTGTTTCAAAGCAGGAAATCCCAGGACTGTAGCTGATTACCAGAGAGCTGCTATGAACACACCTTTTCAGTAAGACATAAGAAAAGCACCACTCTCATCATAACTGTAAGTTTGTTTTAGTTAAGAGGGAAACATAATCAGGCTGTGTATTATTATCAGTGTATTACTATTACACGTCTACACACCAATCAATAAATGCTATTTCTCCAAACTGACATGCTCAGTGTATCAATAAGACATTCATCAATAAAACTGAAGGCAATTTAAAAACTGATGATCTCAGCTTTTCGCTTTCTAAGCCAAGCTTCCACAACAGTCACTCTAAACATGGCCTCTGGACGAGTTCGTCTCGTGGTCACGTGACGGACACCACGTGACCAGCGCGGAACTGAGTCTGCGCGAACAGCGGCTGGAGCTGAAGAGCTACAGGAGAGAGGAGAAAACAACTGTCCTGCTTAATGTCGCCACAGTTCTTCACATATTTCATGCTTTGTTTGAGTTTGCTCACATGGCTGAGCCCGAACCACAGGACCTCCGTGGTAAGTTGAATTTTAAACTTTTACCTTCGTCACTCACGAGTCGCCGTCCTTGTTTAAAAGGAAATGCTGGGTTAGTTTAGCGTCTTTAATTTGTTTGTCGGTGTTTTAAAATGCTCCAGGGTGTGAAGAAGACATTAGTTGTTACCGTATGTCTGTCTTGTTGTCTGTGGGACAGCACCAAGACTGTTTGGGTTCTGATCTGATGGACTCTTGTGGACTAGATGACCACCTGAGTAAAGTTTGGGGTCAGTCCTCATAAAAATGGCCGCCACAGATCTAAACAAACACAAAATGGCTATTTTGAACAAATATTGAGCTAAAACTTAGTGTGGTAGTAGCCGAGAGTCATCCCCAACATAAACACTGAGCACTAGACATCTTTGTGTAGGACAGTTAAACCATCTGTTAGCAAAATATGCCACGAACCATTGGAGACATTTCAACGAAACCTTCAGAAAATAATTATTTGGATGCTGATTATTTGTGGTCAGCCCAATTCAAAATGGCTGCCACAGCTAATCTACTTGTTTCCAATGCATGAGCAGCTTGCTCAAAGATACAGCTGTGGTAAGGGTTAAGTAACAGAGAGGCTTCCTAATGCATACTCTGAGCACTGTCACATCTTGTCATGCAAGGCCACAGGTGATATTCAGTCCTTCAATGAATGCTAGGACTTTTAATTTATTTGAAATATACATTTTTAAAATAACATTTAGTCAGTTTGAAAATGAAAGTTGTACACAGCCGTCTCTGTTTGTTTTGGAGCTTCAGCCACACAAACTGAAGAGTATCATTACTGAGTCACCTGCTGTAATAGTAGTTTTTGTGCCCAGCTTTGCTGTGCAATGTCTCAGAGGTTGCAGGTTTCTGTGATTAGAGGGAGGCTCTTGTTCAATCTCAGCGTCTACCACCAGAACCCACAAAATCATCCGAACCCAAAAAGCTGACGTCTTTTACGTCTAACAATTACTCTTTGGACAGTAAGCTCCTTGGTTCAGTCGCTGGATTAAGTCTGGCTCTCATGAGTGCAGTTTCCTTCTGGTCTCACATATTTTTGAACTGTCTGTGCTTTTCATTTGAGAAAGTTCTGGTTATTAACATTTATTTGACATGTTAGCGTTTCCTGGGCTGCCTCGAGATGTTCTGAGTGATCCAGAACCTGGTGGTTCTTGTTGTTGTTTTTTTTTTCCCTTAAGATTTTTCGTCAAAACTGATCTGACAGATTTAGCCACAAAAACAACAACTGAAAACTTGCAAAATATTGAGATTTCCCTGTTCAGGGTCTCAGGGAGTTGGTCCACATCTTCAGCGGAGTGAGAGGCGAGGGACACCCTGGACAGGTCGCCAGTCCGTCCCAGACACACATGGAGTCAGCATGTTTTTAGTCTGTGCTTAACAAATCTGTCCATTTGATCCAAGTATGTTTTTTTAAAAATCATCAACTAATAAATCCTTTTTACAGTTTTTTGTTTAGTCTTTCACACACAAAGTGCGCAGATACACATCAGAAAACTGCTTTGAACTGAGTCGTTGAAAGAGAAATGAATCTTTGTTTCAATGAGCTGTGAGGGAGCCAACAAATGTTTCCACGTTTGTTTAACTTCTGACCGAGGCACCGTCTCCACCTGACAGGAGACAGCTCAGAGCCTTGTCAGCAGCACGTCAGCTTTTCCAGCCAAAGTTACATCCTTTAGCTTCGGCGTGAGTCAAAGTCTGCTAAACTGTGTGTGGCCTTTCTCTTTTCATGACCAGATTAGATCCAAGTGCTGATTCACGGCTGTTGATAGATTTCCAGTCATGGCTGACTGACCAGCAGCCGCGCCAGGTTACCTTCCAGAGCTCTGCAGGTGGCTGTGTGAACCAGAAGAGCCAGATATTTTCATGAATTCACCCAGTCTGAGTGGGTCTGCCGCTCTTTTAGTTTGTCTGATAACTGAGGCGATCAGCTCTCTTGTCTGATCAAAGATACGAGCGGGTTCGTCGTTTCTGTCACTGATGCAGCGTCTTCGTTATCGCTGAACCAGTTCATGTCGAACTGAGCAGATGCAAGGTGCTGAGCGTTGTTCAGATCAGGAACTAAAAAGCTCTCCTAAGTGTGGAAGTGGTCTCTTCAAATATGGCTTTGGCTTTGTGCAAAAAACCACGTGTGGTTATAAATTCTTTCCAGCTGATTTCCTCCATCAGCTGCAACAGACGGCTTCAGAACAAAATGAAGCTAAAACCTAAAGATTGAGACTCAACTCAAAAAAACTTAAATCTACTTAGCTGTTTGGAAATATAATTACACATTTCTCACATATTTTAAAAGAAAAAAATGTATCGTCCTTTTGCTAGAGTAGATATTTAATCCCAAATAATCGTCAGCTCATGTGTCTGCGCAGAGTGTCAACACTTACGGGCTTCCCGTTTGTTGGCAATATGTCTCAACTTGTTGTTTGTGAAAATAATAAAGCTGTTGCGTTTTATTTCTATACTTCCTACAAACTAAATGAGCCTGAAATTATTTCCGCTACAGAGTAAATCGTTGAACTTTCATCTTGTTTAGGGTTTGTGCAGTTTCTTTCCTCCTGTTTCACTGCAGCTGTCCAGGCTGATAATCTGCTGGTTTGGTCTGACTCAGAGCAGCTCTGACGTTACGCCGTGGTTTTGCTGAGCACCAAAACATTTCTTCTTCTTGTTACATGCTGGACGGTCTCAGTTTGTTTCTAATCCTGCAGACACATTCCTGAATGTACAAGGAGTGGACACACCGTTTGAGCTGATTTCTAGTTTCCTGAAAGCTTCTGCTTCAAGTGAGCCAAAATCATGTGACCGGCATTAGGACTAACAGACCTGCTCTGTGCTGAGGATTTTCCTGTTTATTACAACAAAACACTGCTCTTTTAATAAAAAATATATTTTTTTTTTTATAAAGAAGAAAATGTAGACTCTTAAATATCATGTTGTTTGACTTTTCTGTTATCACTGAACATTAGTCTCTAATATTCTGATACATGCTCAATAATCCAGGTAGAAAAATCCAAAAAAAGTTCAATCTGGTCCTCTGGACATTCAAAAAACAAGAAAACAAAAAAGACAAAAAACAAAACAAAGCAAAATAAATATGTAGAAACGTTTCGTCTCTCATCGGAGAGACTTCCTCAGTCTGAGGTGCTGTTTTCAGCTCAGTCTCTTAAATAGCACCTTCTCAGAGTGGATCAACCAGTTTTGCTGCTGACAACCAAAACCAGCTGATCACATGCTCAAGAAGGACCATCAGCCTAACAATGGATCATTAGCACACTGATGGCTGTTTACTATTCACAGAGGGCTGAGTGATACTAGCAATCATAGCATTGTAAGAGGGGGACAGTTGAACACGGAGGCCTCCACCCCTGTTTAAATCGTCTATCGTCCAAACTGAGGACGTCCAAGAAATCGTCCATCATTAAACAGCAGTGGAGGTCTCCGGGTTCAACTTTCCCCCTCTTACAATGCTGTTAGGCATTACAATTAGGCTGATGGTCCTCCTTGACCATGTGAGCAGCTGGTTTTTGTTGTCAGCAGCAAACTGGTTGATCCACTCTGAAAAGGTGCTATTTAAGGTCGTTTTCACACCTGATAGTCCGGTAGACTCGGTTCGGTTCGGGACCAATATTCATGACCTTTTGTTTACATTTGAGCTGGTGCGTTTGCATTCACACTGCACTGTGCAGTTGAGTCAACCTGTTGAACCAACCTGTTCCCCCGCTCGCCTGTGGGGGCGCTGCATCAAGAACTACTGAAAGAAACGACACAAAAACCTCTGAAGACACGTCTTCTTCTTCTTCTGTAAATAAAAATAAAAACGAAGTGGCATCAAGTTTTAGCAGTTTTAGGAGTTATATTTTGTCATTTTTCAAAAATGGACTTAGCATGAGCAGAAGATGAGACGGAAGACCATGAAGAATATTGTTTTTCACACAAGGCAGCTGACGGCTCCATATAAGGTCAGAGAAATGCGTGTTTGTTTACCCTGCAGAGCGGGGCTTGGTCTGTTTACATTCACACTGTACTCGAACCGCGCTGGAGTTCTCTTCTACCGGACCGAGACCTAGGTTTTAGCCCGGGCCAGAGTTCGCCTTTTTGTTTCGTGACAGAGTTCGATGTCGCGTTCACACCTCCCTAAACGAACCGGACTTTCTAGGAAAATGAGCTAGAGTTCGATTAAAGCGGACTAAACAGGGCTAGTGTGAATGCACCCTAAGAGACTGAGCTGAAAACAGCACCTCAGACTGAGGAAGTCTCTCGGATGAGAGACGAAACGTTTCTACATGTTTTTGCTTTGTTTTGTTTTTTGTCTTTTTTGTTTTCTTGTTTTTTGAATGTCCAGAGGACCAGATTGAACTTTTTTGGATTAGTCTCTAATGTCTGTGCCAGATAGTTTTTAGGGTTTAGTTTTTAACTTTTTAGGGGCGGCTGTGGCTGAGTAGTTAGAGCAGTCGTCCTCCAATGCAAGAGTTGGAGGTTTGATTCCACCAGCAGTCACATGCTGAAGTGTCCCTGGGCAAGACACTGAACCCCTCATTGCCTCCAATGTGTGTCCCATCGGTGTATGAATGTGATAAAGCTCTGATAAGTCTCTGTGGAGATCTGCTGTTTGAATGGGTAAATGAAGCACAGATTGTTGTAAAGTTCTTTGAGTGTCTTGATAAGATAGAAAGGAGCTGTATAAGTACAGTCCATTTACCATTTTTGTGATGTAAAGGGATAGTTCAGCTATTATGTATGGAAGGCCATTTCCGCCTTGAAAGAAAAAGTAAAATCCCAACAGAAGTCATAATTTCAAGTTTTAAAGTCATAGTTAAGAGAATAAAAGTCATAATTATGACTTTAAAACTCAAAATTATGACTTCCTTTTGGACTTTTTTTTCATAGCGGAAATGGGCTTCGATACTAAATACTATATAAAGTGAAAATATGTATACATTAAATACCTTTATTTAAAAGGATTGATGTTTTGAAGGCAGAGGGATGTAAAA